CATGAGCAAGTCCTGGAGTCTGGGGAAGGCTCGGACGAGGGCTCTGCGGCAGAGGCAGAGAGGGGGCCCGGGCCGTATGCCAATTATCAGCTGCCTTCGGAGTTGGACATTAGTGGGGCAGAGGAACAGCTGGAGCCTGTTCCCAGTGTGCACATGCGCAGAGCTGTCAGAAATCAGGGTCGACTTGGGAGTAAAGCCATAGGTGGATGGTGAATGGCCCCTCCCATAGGAAATAAAAGAGGAACAAAAGGGGAGTGGGCTTTTGCAGGAAATAATTCCTTCGTTCATTCATTAGATTCGTTTCAGGAGTGTGAAGATCTGTCCGTGAATCTCAGAGACTCTGTGCCCAGAGTCTTTCCTTGAGCAGCCCCTCATTTGGGAAAATATTGACATGGCAGCTTTCCAAGATAGATAAGGTCTGTGGGCATAAATACGCCTTTGAAAGACTGTTTGCCAGGCCTTGGCTGAATGGGAATGAGAGGAATTCACATTCGTTTAATAAAAGGGGTTTAATAAAAGAAATCTGCTGCTTTTGGGGGAAGCTTAGGTCAGAACAATAGGTCCCAGCTTCTAAGAAGGGTTTTTCCCTGCTCCGGGACTCACGTGGCTTTTCCCTCGTGCAAGAAGACGCACGAGAGAGTGAGCTTGAGGGACGCCGCCACGACTTTCACCGACTTAGGCTTCAGCTTCAGGTTTAAGTCCACCTGGTTGGGCGTCTGGCTGGCGAAGCGTTTGAGGTTCACGTCGACCGAGGCGAGGACTTTACGTTGCCCCTTTGATTCCTGGCACGAGAGTTCACATGGGTTACAAATTTTTAACTGGTAAATTCCTGTCTCGGCCACCCATTTTTCATTGCACCCTGCTGTCACCGTTCGAACACAAGACCAAAATCTTCCCCCTGCCCCCCAAACGGTTACAAAAGCAGAAATCACTCCCACTGGACTCCAGTTCAAAATGAAAATTAAGCTGTAGATGGAGGTCTAAATAAGCCTTCTGAAGAAGGCCTTAAAATCCACCAAATTTGTGTGAAAACGTTGGGAAGAAGGAAAGAGGATTTCCAGTGGCAGGGAGTTCCACAGTTTAGAAATGACCTGCTGCGGGTTCCAGCCATCTTTGTCTCAAAGAACAACAGCAGCAACAAAAAAACAATGACAACAAAAGATTTTAAAAGGAAGTTGAGAATGAATAAAAAGTACCTTTCTATATTTCTTCTCAAACGATTGCCAACATATAGAGATATTCCTCAACTTACAACAATGCATTTAGTGACTGTTCAAAGTTTCAATGGCCCTTAGGACCGGTCCTTGCACTTATGACCATTATAGCATCCTCACAGTCACATGATCAAAATTCAGGCCTTTGGAAGACACCATGCATTTACAATAGTTGTTGTGTTGTAACGCTTATTCAAATGAATGGGTTCACTTAATGACCACCACAAAAAAAGACTGGAAATCAATTTTTGGTCATATGAGTACTTCCACTTAGGAGCCATAATGACTTATGTTAGAAATTCTGTTTATATATAGAACCACAGACATATATATATATATATATAGTATATGTACTCATATATAGTACAGTCACCATGTGCGTTACTGCTTAACTGCTCAACTGTAACAGGAAACAGGAACAAAAAGAGCATAGAATAAATACCATAGGTCCAAACTTATAAAAACTACCATCTACTGGCTGAATGCTACTGCAGTTGTTGCATAAAAATACATTTCAACTTATGACCAGAATTGTGGTCATATGTCGAGGACTACCTACAATCAAAGTGCATGAGAAACTCTTTTTAAAAACAAAATACCGAACAATCCAATGAAAGATCCAATTTCCAGGAAAGGTTTTTTTCCCCCACCAACTTTGCTACAAAAATCTCCCCCGTCTTTTATCTGGGCACAATCAAAAGCAAATCCAAGATTTGAAACGCACATTTTCTACCACAAAAGTCCAATCTTTATCTTCGTATTCTTCCACGTGTGGGTCCTAAAAGACAGAAGGGATGGCAGTCAGTGGGAGGAATGGCCTTCAACGCGAAAAACACCCCAGGTTTCCTCACCTTCCTCATTTACAAAAGAGGACATCCCATTAGCAACAAGGCACAACTTAATAGAATAACAGGGCTGGAAGGGACTTTGAAGGTCGTCTAGTCCAACCCCCGGCTCAAGCAGGAGACCCTGTACCATTCCAGTCTGTCCAATCTCTTCTCCAGTGATGAAGAGCCACAATGTCTGGTGGCAAGTCGTTCCATTGGTTAATTGTTCTCACTTTTAAATCAATCGATCAGATCAATCAATCAATCAATTAAAATAGAGCTGGAAGGGACCTTGGAGGTCTTCTAGTCCAACCCCTGTTCAAGCAAGAGACCCTAAAGTATTCCAATCAATCAATCAGATCAATCAATCAATCAGAATAGAGTTTGAAGGGACCTTCGAGGTCTTCTAGTCCAACCTCTGCTCAAGAGACCCCACAGGAGGCTGTTTTCACCCTCCCCAGGTGTCAGGAAAGCTTTTGGAGCCTGGGGAAGGCAAAAATCCCCCCCCTCCGCACAAGGGTCACTCACGCACACGTGGTGGAGGACCACCCATGCATTCGCAGGTGGGGGCGGGGATCGCGCGCATGCACAATAGCGTGCACAGGTTTGTCACACCTTTAGAAAAAGGTTAGACATCACAATTTGTTGCAATTGCCAACTAAACATTGCTAAAATTCTGGTAGGCCTTCGACCCCGCAAATACAAAATGCAAAAACCCCTTTTCTCACGAGTCTCTTTCTCCCATTCTAGGCCCAACCCAAGAAGCAAAGCCATATTTTATCCCCCCATCACATCACTTCATTGTGCAATTAGTTCAGTGATGGTTTGGGAGGGGGGGCATTTCCCTGGTCTTTCCTCCACGTTGGCAAAGCACGAATTAAGACAATGTATGAATGAGATTCTCGAGCAAGGAATCGTCTTCTTAAATCTGCCAGCGGGTATCCTTGCTCTGAGACGACACCGGTCAGACGACGCAGTTCTCTTACCCGGTAAAGCGTGACCATAATATCTACGTTTTCTGGCACCATCCATACCACCTCGCCCCGGTAAGGATTCTTGATGCCCGGTTGCCAACTGTGAGCCTAAAACAAAAGAGCTTAAATTTTTAAAAAACCCTTACCAAACGCAAAATAACACAAAACATACAATTAATAGCAATAGCACTTAGATTTATATACCGCTTTGCAGCCCTCCCTAAGCGGTTTACAGAGTCAGCCTCTTGCCCCCCCCCCAAACAATCTGGGTCCTCATTTTACTGACCTCGGAAGGACAGAAGGTTGAGTCAACCTTGAGCCTGGTGAGATTCGAACTGCCAAATTGCAGGCAGCCAGCCAGCCAGCAGTCAGCAGAAGTAGCCTGCAGTACTGCACTCTAACCACTGTGGCGCCACCGGGGCTCTTAATTACACACACACCCGCCCGCGCACACACACAGTCATACACACACACACACACACACACACACACACATGTTATATTTGTGCTGATAAATAAATAAAGGGAGATTAGTATAGATCTATTTCAAGCTATTTAGCTCTCATCAGCTAGCCATACCCTTACTGGGATAATTATTATAATTATAATTATTTATCAGCACAAATACAACACAAATGTAACAAAGGCAACAGTAAAAAAATATTGGGTTTCTGTCTGGATGGTCTCTTGTGATGAGCCGATAGATGGAGAATGGAAGCAGTAAACGTCCTCCCATATTTGGGCATACCAGGGGTTGTGACTCTAAATACATACCTATTTCCCTGGCTCAGCTGATAAGGAGAAGAACCCTGTGGCTTAGTGGTTAACACATCTGCCTAAGATGCAATATAGCACAGGATCTAATCCCAATTATGTATTGTCTTACATGTCATTGTATGTTTCCCCTTCCTATATAAGTTGTAAGCCGCCCTGAGTCCCCTCAGGGAAAA